GTGTAAACGACCATTACCTGAAGGAAAAGTTGGCGTCCTTTTGTTAGTCTCAGCTACGCCGTAAACATCATGATGATGGTTCGACCGTCACGTCCTCTAATGTCCACTGTGGGCTTCACAGCAAGGTGGAGCAGGCACGATGACGTTCGTGTGAATTAGTGTGGACTTGCGCAGAATCTACCACACCCCTCCCTGTCTGCACCCTGTGTTAAGACAGAGTCAAGAAGACCGGAGGTGGATGACGCGGCCGGACCCGCATCTTGGCGTCCCACTCCACATCCCCTGGTCTACAACAGGATTTTGACCAAAAACAACTTACTGTATCAGGTTTGCTAGATTCCAGACGTTGCAGTAGGTTGGGCTGGTAACTGGACCCAAATGTGATTAAACTCGCGTCATCCGACGGGGGCTCGTAACTCAAGTGGTTAGAGCGTTGGCTGTACTAAAGCATTCCCTTTACTGCGTGGTTTCGAATCCCACCGAGGCGTGGAGTTTTTCACAGTTGGGTTAATGCGAATTATTTAAAATCTGCCAAAACATCTATAAACTCCAGTTCCGTTGGCAAAACCTTGACGTTTTTAAGCCCAACACTACCACTGAGCCACAGACTCCTTGTTCTGCAAATTATGTTCGTGGATATTAACCATGGTAGAGCTGCGCCCAGTGGGTAGGTCGTAGTACGTAGCCCTCCCGTTGGGCCTTGAGATGCAATGCAGAATCCACTCGGGCAGTCACATAACCAATCAAAACCAAGGGAGTCTTTGAGGTAGGGCAGAGATATGTAGACCCCTCACACTGCAGATGCCCTTGCGTCAAATCCCAGGGGGAGGTTAGAGGTAGGGACAGGAGGATCGAGGCTAGGGTTGGGGCTAAGACAGTGAGTGTTGTAGGGTTAGATGCAGGAGTGTTAGAATTGGGGGAGTCAGTGCCAGGAGAGTTGGAGTTAGTGAGGTTAGGGTCACGGTTGGGGCTAGAGGAGCTGGTGTTGGAATTAGGGTTGGCTAGGGTAGTTCAACTGTCGCATCCGACAACGTCCACCGTGTACTCCACAGCAAGGCGAAGCAGGCACGGTAACTTACGCAAGGATTAGTGTATGGTGAGAGCATACTTGCGCCGCATATACCGCACCTCCTCCACACCTGAGCCCGGTACCAAGACAGAGTGAAGAAGACCGGAGGCTGGTGCGGCTGAACCCGCCCCTGGAGGCTCCATTCCACATCCCCTGGTCTACAACAAACACCTGACCAGGATGTTGACCAACAACAACAACAGAAAGGGCGTGGACGACTGCACACACGACCTGTACAAGCCCATCTACGCCAGAGAACCGAAGAACTGCCAACGCACACCAGGCTACAAGAGCCACGGCTTGCAGATCATGGCACATCAGGCGCTAACAAACCCTGGGACCGAGAAGGGTGACGCACAGTCCTGCATTTGCCTGGATCATCACGGGTTAAAGGCTGTGTAACCAGTCAGTCAGCGACTGAAAGGCACTACCCATTAAGTGGCACTCACTCCTCACATGCTCGAGAGTGCTAGAGGTCACTTTAACAAAGATCCGTGACAGCCTGGCTCTCGGCCCACCAATCCGCCACTCCACGTAAACACATTCAACTGGGCAGACTGCGTGGATTGGGTTGAGGCGTGCGTCGGCAGTCTTCCAAGCCACGGTGCTTGACGCACCGTGATAGTCTCAGACTTGGATCACGCATACAGCAGAGCAGCTGCCGTAAACCTGACCAATTAGCATCCACCTTTGGTCCCAAAGACGAACAGTACCTTGCAGATTGCTGGGTAACAACCGGGAGATGGCACCCAAAAAATCCGTTACCTAGAAATAATACCTTTTACAGTGAACTTAAACGCCTTTGGGCTATATCAGCGGTTGCAGGCCTACTTTCACGCACTGCTTGGACTTTCCGCGTCGGCCTAACATGGTCTGGTTGAACGAACATCGCAGAAGGTTACATGGATGATGGTCGCTGTTACCCAACCTTCCCCATCGTTACACACGTACACCTGAATATACGGCATACATTCGCAATATGGCAGTTTATTACATAACAAAAACACTTTTAAATATGATAAGTCTACACAACATGGGACAGGAACAGTTCCCAGGCATCTGTCAAAGACATGGCATTGAGGCCAAACCAAAGACTATACTGTACTTCGTATATGTGAGTCCACACAGCTCGACCACATACAGGGCCTCCCTCGTGGAGTTTCCTTTTCAGTCTACCCCAGTATGGCATTGGTGTGCCGTCCGGTGGTAGGGTCCTTGAAGTTCTTTGAGTGGTTAACAGAGAAATGTAGATAACCTTCTGAGGGAAGACGATTATACGCCTTCCACTCGTCCGTTACCACTATAATGCCTTTGGCGACCCATTTTGTAATAACGGGACGGAGAGCGGGCCAGCTTCGATCATTCACCTGTTCAACTAAGGCTTTCTGTCGGCTAGTATCGTACATCCCGACCCCTATTACCACCTGTCCCGTAAGACAGGCTGCTTTGTTTAGGCGGATTTTTTGGGTGCCATCTCCCGATTGTTACCGATTACCTTTCAACTCCTGCATTCGGGCAGGGCTGCCTTGACTGGATCTCGGAAATGGAGCAGAGCATATGCGCAGCACCTCGATCGCCATCTGCGATTAAATCTGAACTTAACTTCTCGACGCAACGGCACACCAAAACGACCACCAACGAGTCAGGACTGCGAGCAAAAGATGGCATTTGCGGAGCCGAGGGAGGGATGGATAGAGAAAATGCCCGTCTTCTGACTTGCTCCTCTTATTTTTCGCTGGTGTGAGCTGAAGTCTTCTGACTCATCGACCGTGGCGTAGAAAGGAACCACCAACAGTTGCTCTTCTAAACCACCCAGGAGCTGTGAAACCTTTGATTGCCGGCGTAGACCATCTTATTTCGAACACGGAGAAGTAGGCATCACGTCATCCAGTTTTCGCCGCATCAGTAGTCAGTTACTTTCGAAGCCACGCATCCTGCTAAGTTCCAGATTGGCAGATTTGAACATGAAACATGTGAGAAGCATCACAAGTTTGGTGACATTTTACATGGTCTACTGACAATCAGTCCACTAATAGATGTGGTCGTCTGTTACGTGACTGGCCTTCTGCACCGAACACTATTCAGGTGGGATCAGTCAGATTACTTGCGGAAAAACTTGGTGGCTGGGCTCCTAGGACTGTCTTCTCTCCGGGAGGCACCAACTTCCCTGTATCTTCCTGTTTCAAGGCCCCAACTTTCGTAAAAGCGCTGTATTTTGTCTACTTTCAGATGCTTTAAGAAGCTGGGAGTCAGACTCAGAAGTACCAGGTGATGGAATTCAAGTTTATTCCTACCAGTAAAGCCCTAACGCTTTTTAGTAAACGTATCTCAAACACATAGTGAGTGCATTCAGATCGATTTTATCTCCTTTGTGGAGGTTTGGGCAGTGCTGTGGGCCGAGCCCTGGCTGTGTTATCCTATTCCTTTCTTATCAGTTCAATAATCGTAATTTCGGATTTAGCTGTCCCACCCTGGCAATGTCGACTTTCCAGCAGGTAACCCACCCCCCCCCCCTTGTAATCACTCTCGTGCGACACGATATACTCCTTATCGCAGGCGATAGGGCACGAGCTAGGTGGCCCAGATGTTAAAAAAGTTTTTTTAAGTGCTCAATGGTCCACTGTATCCGGGCTCATGCATCGGGTATGACAGCGCCTGGCGTAGCATTGACTGACTGCCTGAAGTCACCTAGGAATTACCATTCTAGTCGGTAACACCCCTCGACCAATGAGTGTGTTCCTTCGGTACGCGTTTGAACCAATCACTGAGGAGGCAGTTATCGATTAGGCACCAGACACTTGCATTGTATAAACGGTCTCTGCGCTATCAACAGAAGTACGTAGATTTCAGAAAGCTTGAGGATGGTGCGTAGAAAGAAGGAGATTCCAAAACTATCGAAATGGCGTGGTTTTTAAAGAATTACTGATCAATAGTAATTTTCAGCGGCTCATCTTACCTGGCCCGCCCGCTCGACTGGGCTTGGCAAGTTAGAATAAATTCTACTTAAAAATGCATCAGGAATCGACATCGAAAAATCCCTTCCTGGTGGTGTATTAAGCAAAGGTTTGTGCAGTCCGTTCAGTTGCTGAAAGTTAATTTGCAAAAAGTTGAGTAGTAATTAAGTTAGATGTAGTTGTAATCCCTGTCTGTGCCGTCCAGTTTCACATTAATTCACACAGTCATATACCCCACAGTTTCGTATACAATAAAATTCTCTCGGAAGTGCGGCCTGTTATTCTTCATTGTCGTTTGCGTTTGGAAAAAAAACTCCTAGCTAACAACCGTCTTGTTCTGATAAAGGGGTTTGAGGGATGCAATTTAGGTTTTAATCAGTCTCGAAAACACACCGTATCGCAGTGCACGTTGGTTTAAACAAACACCTCAGACGGTCCCGTAACCGCTTCTAGTTTTATCTACAGTTCTGTGGTTTTAAGTGCGATTTTCAATCCACTGCACGTAAGGGAACTTTTCATGTACTACTGACGTCTCGCGACTAATGCAACCAGCAGAGAGGACTGCAGTTTGGGGCTCTAGGTCAAACCAAACGGAACCGAAAGAGAAGGAGCACTTCTCGGATCCATACTCGAACAAATAATCAGAAACAGTGTCAGCGATCGGGTCTTTTTCTTTACTGCTGCGTCCCGGAACACGCATTTTCGTTCGTATCCAACAGGACTTCTTCGTTTTTGCGATCGGGTCGCCGAACCACCACCTTTAAATGGTCAGAATAGCGGTTGAGATGATGTGAGCTTAAGGCTCAAGTGGTACAGCCTTCAACCCGAGTGCCTCATGCTCAGCGGGACGTCGGGTTATCTAAGCCGTACCGAACTGGGTCAGGGAATGGCTAGCTGACGACCCCGTCCGGCCAATCACTGAAAAGGGCGCCAGCAGAGACAAGGGTGACCAGAGTGGCAATTTTTGGCTTATTAGCCGCCACCAGTCAGTCATACCCAACCACAGGTTCGAAGCACTATCATCCATGACTGAAACGTTTTGGACGCTACCTCTAGTTCCTCCAGTATGGTGAACTTTGCTCACAGAGGCCAGTCTGCACTTTAAGTTTGAGCTGTGCGTCCAGGCGCGAAGAGGGTGCTTGCATCTTTGCTTTGTGCGTCTGCGATTAATCAATGGAGGACGAAATATCGATCGGTATCGGTGGACCGGATGTTGAGCTACGCGCGCGTAAGCAGTGGTTGAGAGGCGTGCTAGGCAGACCGTAGGCAGCGTGGATAAGCTGCCGCACTGAACACCACAGGAGCGGCCCACTGCAAGTTCAGTCTCGAGAGCCCCCGATAGTCAACACCGACCCACTACCGCAGTAAACGGCCCCAATGACAGTCCGCTTAATTGTCATACGTCTTCAGTCGCGTTTGCAATTGGTATATTGCAGGAGCCTAGGCCGAGAGTGAGACCCCGGTTATCATGATATTTAGGTCCGGTCGCGAATAGAAGGAGAAGAAGTGGGACCCCAGTTTGCACGGATCGTATATTCTGTACAGAACAACGGTATAAGGGCTTGGAGAGAGCTGGCAGCCAGAGGAGGGTATCCCCGGCGCCGGGAGAGCGACGTCCCATGTGTCAGCTAGAGAATGCGTCAAAGCGTCTTAGGCCAGGCACGTCTGACTCGACCGTGAATCTGATTGGTCAGTTGGAAGGCCGCATGGGCGAACACCAGACAGCCTTGGCGTGTAGACACTCGCGAGAGCCCCAGCTTTGCGACAGGCGTGCGGGGTAGGACCACTACGCGGTGACTCGGAGCAACATAACCGAAAAGTACTTGCTAACGTTCTGGCTTTCTCGACACCACACGGGTGCATAGGACTAACCGCGGTTCATGCTCTGACTTCTGGCTGGTTGACTGTTTTTCGGCCCTTCTGAACGAGGCGCGTCGATGACGAATTTGTCGAAATAAGAGAGACCCTAAAAGCAATGCTAAACTCCACTCTCTTGGTGTGCGAATTATAAAGATGACAGGCGGAAGATAAGTACGGCGGTCTACCGTTAGGTGGTCGGATGTGGTTATGTAGCCGCTCCTGAAGTCTTAAAAAAACCAGCCGCCTGTAATTCGGGACCGGTGGTGATGAACGTTTTTATTAATTGGGCCGGGGAAGACACAGGCGACGGGGTCAAGTAGTTGTATGCAAAAGAAAGCTTTTGGGAATGCGCGGTTGCACTTTGAGAGGATGAGAATTAGTTGCCCTAACCCCTAGCCTTAGTCCCTAAATCCTAACCCTAACCGCTAACAGTATTGTGTCCATCAGGTGCGACTGCATAATCACAACTCACCCGTTAGGCATCTGCGAATGCAAAACTCTGTTCGTCCCAAATGCAGCCATGCCAGAACCCCCTTCCGACGCGTTCAATCACATTTTAGGGACAACAGTGAGAGGGAGGATGTGCAGTTCTTGCACTCATTGCCAAACCGAGGTCCTTCATACGAAATTGCTAGGATATGCATGCTTATGGACGGTCGTTTGGTGAACAGTTTTCAGTTTTCGCAAAGAAAATGTCCCTACGCCAGCAAGCATCCTGAATCCCTCTGATATTGACGCGGTGCACAGACTAGAATCTTTCTTCAGACGGCGAACAATGAGGCCGAAACGCCCCCTGATGGCTACAGACCAATCACCCAGTGGTATACAGCACGCTATGGCGAAATTTCAATTCAAGGTTTGCTAGTGAATCTAGTCAAGGCCCCACCTCAAGATTGTCCAATCACCAGTCCGCAGTCAACAGCGTGGATAAACCGTCTATGACCACGTACAACACATCAGAAATATGGTTTTGTCCCTGAGGATGCGACAGGCATCAGCCGAGCTAATGAGAATATAGTCAGATTGCTGCCCAAAATCTGTTTCTCGACTGCCTCACTGAATTGTGCCATGAACCTGCCTTTTGCCCGACAAGCGTTGCACACAAGATCCAAGTCAGCTCAGACAGCGCCAACCAGGACAAACGAACAGAGTCACGCGGGTACAACGGCTGACGCCCTCTGTGAAGATGGAGAATACCGGTCACTGGTCACGTGGCCAGCACTGGACATCAGATCATCGTCACACCCAAGTTCCCGAATTGTATCCTCACGTGCGTTGACGACCGAGCAGTCCGCCCCGGCGCCGAGGGCAGCGTCGACAGGCACTCTGATTTTGCTGAAATTACGACGGCCGCCAGTCGGCCAGTGAGAAGCCAGAGCCAATAATCGCCGCACTAAACGCGACCATCGGCGATGAAGTTGGAAGTCCCCAACTGTAATAAGTTTGTGGTTGTTTAGCCACCACACATGAGTACACCACCTTCAGCTGTCGCTACCTCCGATTATGGGTTCAAGTTTGAGTCAGAAACGCCAGACCTAAAAAATTATGTCCCGAACACGTAACTCCATGTCCTGTACCCTGTGATTTTTTGAATTATTGGTTTGATATTCTCTGGAGTTGGCATACCAGAAAACACATAGAGGACGCTGGCAGACATGTCGAGGAGCCGAAATCCTCACAGCTGTGTCATGTAGCATCAAAATTGGCCAAAAATATGTCTGGGCTCTTAACTACAGTAGGTGGGTTAACTCATGAAATGTCAACCGAAATTCCGAAATACGTTTTCGTTTCCAAAAGATTAATTAAGTAGGGTTCTAAAACTTATCAGCGTGCAACATAATTCTAAAATAATTCAGCTACCTCGGGATGCCGGCTTTCGAACGAACGTCTTACCGGCTTCATGCAAGAGGCATACTCTGCAAAAAATGAATACTTAAGTGGCATGCATTTTTCTCACTGATTTTTGATGCCTTTAAAAATTCAATTATATTTCATAGAAAAAAATTCATTATTTTGATCATTCGGTAGAAAATTACGTCTTCTTTAAACTTTCTACTTAAAGGAAAGCTATAATTCAGTTTCAAAAAAGTTTCTCATCATGAGATTTTTCAATACCGTGAAATGCCCGTTTATAAGACATCTAGTAGCTGCATTTACTAATGTGGCTTGTGCAGTTCACAGTATGGCTCAAATCCACTGCTCAATTTTATGAACTCCATAGGGTCTCTTCCTAATGCTGTAGAGAATTGTATGCTTTCTGTACGCGAAAAGTATACGGCTTCTGGTTTGCAAACCCTGAATGCAAGACTAACGTCAGGTCGGGCTTAAGATTAGACAGGAATTGGAAAAGTTTTTGGAAACCGAATTATAACATTTTTCGAGCATAAAACTGTAAAAAGACGTAAATGTCTACTAACTGAGCCAACTAATGAATTTTTTATACATGTTTTCCATGAAATGTAATCCAATTTTAAAGACATCGAAAATCAATGAGAAAAGTGCATGCTAATTAAGTAGTCATTTTCATATAGTATAGCTTTTGTATGCAGCCGGAAAGAAGTTCGTTCGAAAGCCGGCCTCCTGGGGGAACTGAATTATTATAGAATTATGTTGCCTGTTGATTAGTTTTACAACCCCACTTAGTTAATATTTTCGAGTAGAAAACGTATTTCGGAATTTCGGTTGACATTTCATGATTTAACCCACCTACTGCACGTAGGGACTACGGCTAACCATCTTTCATGGCATTACCAACAAAGACTAGGGGGACTGGGATGGCCATTTCAGGCCTATCAACCGTCGTTAGTCAGATCTTTCAAACCCCGAGGCTCGACCTCGACAGGACAACACGCCTTTGGCTCAGTGGTTAGGGTGTCGGACATCTAGCCAACAGGTCGCGGCATAGAGTCCTAGGGATTGCACACCTCGGAGTTGGTATGGCGGACTGATAACGGTTTACAGGTAAGGAATGACCACTCCAGTTTCCCTTGTCCCTGTCAGTTATGTCATTCTGCCGACCGGTGAGCGACATCATTAGCCAGTCACGCTTGACCTCAAGTTTTCTACAGGACCTTAGAGTCAAGCCTGTATTTTATTGGTCACTGAACGCAGAGCAGAGCGCTCAACAGCTGAGCCACGGACCAATGTCCCATCGGTTGCGATCGGAAGTACTGCGTTCACGAATCAGATCATGAAACGGGTTCTTTCCTTCCTGCCCTGGGATTCAATCTCCAGACTTTGCAGGTGGTGTTTTCGTCGCCGTCAGGCTGAGTAAACTGAAAGTCCAACCAGGAGAATCTGAAAATAAAGTTATTTCTTTGAAAAAAGTGTTTGATTAGTTCGCCAGTACTTCCACCACACTTCTCCGGCAGTACCTGCCAAATGCACTGACATTTGCCGCTTCCTGGCAGCTCACATGGTTTGCATGTGACACCGAATGAAGCGATTTTAACCAGGTGTGGCACGAATGACTTCTGCATGTTAATTTCTTGCGACACCTGGCGGTGATAAAAGCTCCCCCTAGGGCAGAGCGAATGCTGTATATGCGCACAGCGAGGGTACATGTGACAGTTGATTGTATCAAATTGTTGGAGAACTACACCATCTGCAGGGTCTACTACCTCCCACGAGGCCTCAACCAAACGAAGGACGCTAAAATCAAACGTCGCAAATTTTTCCAGAATTGTGTGTATTGGCGCTTTTCTACTACTACTACTACTACTACTACTACTACTACTACTACTACTACTACTACTACTACTACTACTACTACTACTACTACTACTACTACTACTACTACTACTACTACTACTACTACTACTACTACTACTACTAATAATAATAATAATAATAATAATAATAATAATAATAATAATAATAATAATTGCATTAACGCAATTTTTAAATGGCACTTCACCATAAAAATTTGTCCAGTTGGCCGACAGCACCTTCGCCCTTTATATTTCTTGTGGATTTTCATTCCCTCGACTACGACGTCTGATGTTTAGTTGAGTCATCAAATGTCACTCAGATGATCCTCCATTCAAATTTAATAGTCACTGACCGGTTTATCAAACTTTCATTCCTGCAAAGTCTCCATCAGCGAAGTCGATCGAGCTCCTCTTTGCTTTAATCGAACATCGATACCGACCAAAAAACCATGAAACATATGACGACGTCAGGCTCGTGGCTAAGATGTGGTTATATAGCCCCACCCAATGGACACAACATTGTTGGGGTTGGAATTAGTGGTTAGGGTAAGGGCTCAGGGCTAGGGGTTGGAGTTAGGGTTATGGGTTAGGGCAACTATTTTTCGGCCAGTCAAAGTTCAATCGCGCTTTTCCAATAGCTTTGCCTTTTAAATACGACTATTTGACCTCGTCGCCTATGCGTTTCCCGGCCGCACCTGTAAAAAACCCTATTATCACCGGTCTCGTATTACCGGTGGCTGGGGTTTGTTTACTTCAGGTGGGGCTACCAAGCCACAGGTGACCGGCTCTTGACTTTGTGCTGACGTCATACAGAATATGAAAAATAATTCTTAAACGTAACCGTACCAATGCTGTTTGATTTAATGGGATTTTGCATGGGCAAACATTATATATTTTCAGAAGCGAAGTCTACTCAAATGACAGGCACGTTTGCTTTCTCGACATTTCCACATGCAGTGCAACTGGTCTCTCATAACGATCAAGCATCCGATTACTTTTTCATTTTTCTGTGTCCCAAAAACCGGCTACGCGGTAGATGCACTGGACTAACACAGGCGGCTAGATCGAAATCCCACAGGCGTTATCGGGGATGCACAACCGTAACAAATGCGCACATTTGGGTGTGGCGGCACGCCCAGTTGTCAGCTGACGTCCTGCCAACTGGGATCTAGGCCATACGCCACTTTGTCGTTGTTTAAAATCCTAGTCGAGTGTTTTTTGTGGACCAGGAGGTGTGGT